GCTTGGAGACAACTAACTGCTATTCAATCTATAACTGATGTTTGTTTCACAGGCAGAAAGTGCCCTAAAAGATGGCGGCTTGAACCCAAGTTGGTGGCGGATCAGTCACGCAAGTCAACAGGCATTCAGAGCTAAAATACAGCAGCGTGTGGACCATTTTTAGCCCAAGGCAGCTCATCTCATCAGGCCTTTTTTAATCTAATGTATGGCCCAGTGTCAGTCCCTTCGGGATCCATCCCTCATTCATCTTAATAAAGGTGAGGTAATCTAGACTTTTTTGACCTAGGCGACTTCTCTTCTCAGTGACAATACCTCCTGCTGCACTGAAGGTCCTTTCTGACAGGACACTTGAAGCCGGGCAGGCCAGAAGTTCTATCGCAAATTGGGATAGCTCAGGCCACAGGTCAAGCCTGCACCCAGTAGTCAAGGGGTTCATGTCGGCTCCTCAGAGTGTCGATATCTGCAGTTAAGTAGTCTGCTACCTGTGATGCAGTCGCTCTCTGAGGGTGGATCCCCGAAGGGCTGTGGCGTCGTGCAGGACTTAAAGGTCGCATGTCCTCCATCAACAACACGTCTCTAAAGCGTCCTCTCCTTGCCGGCGTGGTCATGGGAGGAGGAGGATGACTTCCACCTCTCCCCCTGTTAGATTCCCGTTGTGCTGTGACATCACCCTTATACGCTGTGCAAAGCATACTTTTCAATTTATTTTGCAAATGCTGCATCCTTTCATACTTGTTGTAATTCGGTAACATTTCCGCCACTTTCTGCTTATACCGGGGGTCTAGTAGCGTGACACCCAGTACAGGTCGTTCTCCTTCAGCCTTTTTATACGAGGGTCCCTCAACAGGCACGACAGCATGAAAGACCCCATTTGCACAAGGTTGGATGCCGAGCTACTCATTTCCCGTTCCTCCCCCTCACTGATGTCAATGAAGGTATTTTCTTCCCCCCAGCCACGTACAACACCACAGGTACCAGATAGGTGACAACGAGCACCCTGGGATGCCTGTTGTGGTTGGTCTTGCTCCTCCCCTTCCTCCTCCTCAAAGCCACATTCCTCCTCTGACTCCTCTTCCTCACAATCCTCTTCCAGCGTTGCCGCAGGTCCAGCAAGCGATGCTGATAAGGCTGTTTCTGGAGGTGATGGTGACCACAAATCTTCCTCTTCCTCTTCACGCTCATCTACGGCCTGATCCAGCACTCTTCGCAGGGCACGCTCCAGGAAGAAAACAAATGGTATGATGTCGCTGATGGTGCCTTCGGTGCTAAATTTGTCACCTCCTCAAAAGGACGCATGAGCCTACAGGCATTGCGCATGAGTCTGTAGTAACGTAAGTGTAAAATTCCCAGCTCCCCAGAGGCTGTCCTAGCACCCCCGTACACGCCAGTAGGGCTGACACACCCAGCCATGTATACGGCCTAATCAAGGCCTCAATCTATAACAGTGAAAAAGTTTTTGTTTTAAATCCAAGCTTTGTGTCACTAGATCTAAGTGGTGGCACTGGTCAGATTCACTGTTAGCTGCAATGTATACCCGCTTTAAGAAGGACACTGACTGCTATTCAATCTATAACAGTGAAAAAAGTTTTTTTGTTTTAAATCCAAGCTTTGTGTCACTGGTGATCTAACTGGTCACCCGGTATCCCACTGTTAAGCGTAAACACACCGCTTTGGGACACTGTGAGCTGCTATTCAATCTATAACAGTGAAAAAAGTTTTTTGTTTTTAAATCAAGCTATTGTGACACCAGATATAAGTGGTGGCACTGACTGGGGAAATGGGCACAGTATGCACTGTGAGCCTGACACAGAAGCTGGCAGCAGTGGCAGACAACTAAGTGCAATTACATTACATAGAAAAAATAAATAAATAAAAAAGCATACCCTTATCCCTAACCTAGCTATGCTTTTCCCTATCTTATGAACAGCAGCTACACTTTCCCTCCTCTTACTAAGCATGCAGCTTGAGAATGAATCTAAAATGGATGCCTTCCAGGAGGTGGGAGGGTCTGCTAGGGAGGGTGTGCTGCTAATTGGCTGCAATGTGTCTGCTGACTGTGAGGTACAGGGTCAAAGTTTACTCAATGATGACGAATAGGGGGCGGGTCGACCCGCGCATATGTTCGCCCGCCGTGGCGAACGCGAACATGCTATGTTCGCCAGGAACTGTTCGCCGGCGAACCGCTCGGTACATCACTACACAGGACTTCAAAATAAAAATTTTTTACAGTTGTGCCCTACATACATTCACCATTTCTGTCCCATTAACAAGCTTTCCTTAATATGTCAAGGTAGTTGGACTGAAACATTGATTACATGCAAAGGCACGTCTGCTTAAAATAAATCTGCACTTTTGTTTATTTTGAAGCCTATGAGTGCGCTTTTTACGTTGAAGTACTTTTTGATTTTAAGTTATCTGTTCTAACTCTGTATTTGCACACTATGCTGGCGCGACGCATTATGGGGCTTGTAAATATTTTTTTTCCAGGGCTGCTTTTAATTCCCAGTCCGGCCCTGCCCCCATACACACACTACACACACTGCCCCACACACACTGCCCCCTTGCACACACTACACACACTGCCCCACAAACACTGCCCCCATCCACACACTACACACACACTGTCCCCATACACACACTGCCCCCCACACACACTACACACACCACCCCACACACACTGCCCCCATACACACACAGTCCCACAAACACTGCCCCCCACACACACACTGTCCCACAAACACACACTGCCCCAAACACACACACACACACACTGCACCGCCCCACACATACACTGCCCCCTAACACACACATTGCAACCCTGACATACACTGCCGCCCTCATGCGCACACACACAAACACACACACTTCACCCCTCACACATACCACTGCTCCTATGCCCCATATCCCAGCAGACCCCAGGTAAGTTGTCAAACCGTTCTTAAACGGTTTGACTACTTACTCTGGGATGGGATCCTGACACTACTGGCGCCATAACTACTACACTGAGCTGTAGTGGTTATTGTGCCTGGATTATTTCTTTAAATAATCTACAAGTGCCCCTCCCCAGATCAGGCTCTGGATCCGCCACTGTGTGGAGCTCTGTGATAAACTGACACACGCACCATACTACTATGAGGGCTTTTTGTTTCTGTGAAGCTCTGTGATAAATGGAGAAACAGCGCATTACTACAAATTTTTATTCCAAAGAGATCAAGGTAAATAAGTATAATCCAGAGCTTCAAAGCAAAACCACTCACAGTATTATGTAACATACTTAGTCTGCTCCTCTGTAATGTAGGGGAGGCAGTCTGGCACTTCTGACCTGCACTTCTGTTGGTTGCAGACCACAAGTAACGGTCTTCCTAGCTCGGGCCAATCAGAGCACTGCCGCAGATTACCACTGCAAGTCCCTGAACTTGCGAGACAGTTACACATGGTCTGTACCCAGTGGAGGGGCAGACCAAATTTAGATTAGCATGTCCCTCTCCCAACTAGGTAACAACAGGAAAGAAGGAATGTGTTTTGAAATTATTATTAATTTAATAAATCCCCTATACAATCACTACATTCCTATACATGGATGACACAGGGCACAGGGCACCTAAAGGCCTAAGACCGGCTCTGCATACACTGCTGTGTGTATGAGGGTGGTGTGTGTGTGGGGGTGGGGAAAACAGATTAGGAAAGGTAAGAAGGATCCCCCCTCCCTTATCTTTTGTCTGGGAGGGGGGATCCTTGCTGCCATCCCTGGTGGTCCTAGTAGTGAGTGAACTCTAGCCTGCAGGGCTAGAGATCACTCTCGCGAGATCTGAGCATTGCCTGCCGGCCTCAATGCATGCGCAGGCCGCAGGGATTAGGGTGTGCCCAGGCACACCCCGTGCGCACGCCTATGACTTACACTGTGTGTTAATGTCACATTAGGAGTAAAAACTATTTCCATCTCGCTTTACATCTGTGGTTCTCTATACAAGCGGTGGTCACAGATCATTTACTTGGTGAATGTTTGTCTTTATTTTCGATTGTCTATTTTGTATCTTCTGTTATACGCTGGTTTCAGTGCCAACCACTGACTTGTGTTTGGCTCAGTGACCACCTCTAAGTAACATAGAATTCTTGAATTAGATAGCAGTGTACCAGAGAGTATGACAGCTAACAGCAATTTAAAAAAAAATGTTTTTAATTCTTTATTTTTTGTTGTGCAAGTAATAACAATGCATCTTACACTGCCATGACAGCATATGCAAGCATAGTTTTGACACGGTTGAACATTTGTATGACAGTTTGGTCTCAATTTTTAAAATATAGAGATAGACAAGCTGTTATAACACGTTTGCTGCAGGTCTCGACAATTTTTAGCATTTAACGTTTCACAAAGAAGAGAGGTAATGGACTTGACCTGCATAAAATAACGATTAGAACTCTATGTAACACGTTGAAGTTACACGGGCTTAAGTCCTAGGCCATAGGTTTCCATGCGTTCTGCCAGTACGTTAATATATTAGCTAGAGCATGATAGGCATAGGTGGAGCATATATGTTGGTAAGGCTGTATTTTTAAGCATGTTAAGCATTATTAGTAGTACTAGGAGATAGGTAGTGTGCAATTGTGGGTACTTTGGTTGTAATTTGAGAGATGTGCTCACATACCCTAATGAGACTACAGATTTATTACACAGGAAGAAACAACAAGGAATGAGCGACAGGATGGCGTTTGTTTTTGTGTGAGTATATGCTATAGTCCGTAGTTATAGTGGGTGGCCATAGAGTTTGTACAGTTTAGACACTTTACCCGACGCCTGCCTGTGGGTGTACAGTGTCCCGCATCCATGTTGCTTGCCGCCGGCTTTCCCGGCTCACAGTGGGTCGGCAGGTGGGAGCTGTCGGTGGAGGGGTGCTGCCTGGTGCCTTCTGTTATATCCCCACCGATGTTGCAGTGGTCTCTCAGAAAGGTTCCCATCCCTTGCTCTGTGAGTGCGAGCAGGGTTGCCATTTTCCAACACTCTACCGCTTGGGGGTAGCTTGTCGATGGCGGGAGCTGGGTGATGGTACGTCGGGCAAGGTGACTTTTGGCTTGCAGGGCTGTACCTGTTCCAGTTTGTCGGCTAGTTTTACCCAGAAGGCTGCAAAGGTGCGCTCTAGCCGCTTCAGGATATCAGGGTCCTCGGTGCCATGGCTTGTTATCCATGTGGCGTCCGCCATTGTAGTTTGCCCAGTTGTTGCGACTGTCCGCGTGATCCGGTCAGCTGCTCGCAGTATGGCCGGGCTTTCTCCCATGGTTGGACCGGGATAACCCCCACCGTTCCCGGGGGTGGGGGGGTGTTGTGTCTCCCGGTCCTCCACCAAGAGGATGGGGAAAGAGGCCGTCTCTCCCCAGATCCAGTGCCTGCAGGCCGCGGTTAAACATCTTGGGTTGCTGTGCACCGATTCTCAATCAGGAAGTATCCAGAGATTCAGTGAGGCACTCTGAGCTCAGGTATGGCAAGCTCGTGTAGGTGCGAGCCTTTAACAACGAGTTTTGGGTGATTTCTTCATTTTGGCTGCAGGAGCTCAGCAATCGTGCGTCTACTCAGCAAGCCAGTCCACAGCAACTCTTTCTATTCATTATTATTCATAAAATCAATGATTAATTTCTTTGAGACATAAAAAAACATATAAGCTTTCCTTTGAATGAGAAGTAAAATCTTCTGGTTACCTATAATTACACTATAGATACGTAAATGAAAGTGAGTCCTGACAAGATCTAAAAGCTGAATATGCTGTAATCTATTCTTTGAAAACATGCATTCATTTTATTTAAGGTTTGAGGGCAGGCACGTAAAGGGACACTCCGGACCCATAAAGCAGTTTGGATTTCTGAAAAACTTTGTTTGAAGAGTGTGTTCTCTTTTTTCACTTTGGAAATAGTGCAGATTTCAATAGAAATTGACACTTTTATAAGTTTTACTGGATAGATCCCCCTTGCTTTTCAAGCAGACAACAGGTCGTATTACTTCCTGGTTTGGTTAGCCTATTTGCACTAAACTCAAGACACAGCAATTGCCCATAGCACTTGCCTTGCAGAAGCTTCTCATTGAGCTGCATTGGGAAGTCTGTGATTGGACAGCCACAGAAAGTGTGGGCGGGGTTAGAAGAGGAGGGCTTGCAGAAGCTGCAGACAAGAGATCTGCAGTCTTTGCAAGCTGTTTTTAGATATAACTCCAATAAAAATTGGAAAATTACTACTTTACGGTGATTTTTATTTATTTTGTATTTGGCCTGTGGAGTGTCCCTTTATCCCCTTTAATATAAACTTTTCCAGTTTTACAAAAGGCTTAAATGTTTAAAACTAACGAACCACTGAACCCAGAACACTTAATTGAGATGAAATTGATTGGTCCTGTAGATGTGGGTGCATTGTTAAGATCAGAGACCGATATTCACAAACATATTTATTAAATAATAAGTACTGAGGACATAAGTCAATGCTCCATATATTTTGAGGACCATAGGGATCATCGGTACTCTGTGATCCTTACCTGTGCTAGTAAGGGGGCATGAAGACCCACAAGCTCTTCAAATATCATATGGCAACATATGATAATATACTTATCCTGGGACACCACAGATAGGATCGCAGGAAGAGTTTGGTGATTAATGAGAGTACTTCTAATTAAACTTAACTTCACCGCTCACAAAATGGAGGAAGAATTGGAACTATTCACCTGCCCCGTGGGGTTCTGTGAAAATAAGTGGCTTATGAGCCGAGGGGAGGTCAGGGTTACTAATCTCAAACTACTTAAAAGTAAAGTAGTGGTGATACCATTATTTGGCTCACAGCTACATTTTCGGTGCCAATTAAATCTTTTCAACAATTTCGAAGTTTTATTCTGAGTAACTGTTACAACGAAGACAATGCATGTTTAATTGTGGGTAAGTGTTCTGGATCGAGAGAGCGTTATTGTGCAAGCAGTTTAAGGTACAAGCTGAGTCATTCCAAACTAAATTTAACACCTTGCCTCGTCAGAAAGTGGAAGTTTCAACAGACGAAAAACAAAGTGTTTAAGTGAGTTTGGAATCGTGTAGTTACTTAAAGGAACATTCATATTAAAAAAAAAAAAAAAAAAACACTACTTTCAATAGGTTTCGGAATGTTTGTTTGCATATGACACTACATTACGCGACAGCAAACAGACATTAATGAACACTCAACACAACGTTAAAAAAACCTAAATATAATAAATCACTATTTAGTACATATACACCCAATGAATTTATTTATGCATGCTGACATTGAGGGTATATATCACATCAGCTTGCAAAAGCTGCGGACATTTTTCTTGCAGCTTTTACTCATTTTTTTTCCCCATCGCAGATTTTCAATCTTCTGAAACACGTGTGCATGCGCAGTGAGAGAGCCCAACTGGATTGAACGCTGGAGCAGATGGCAAGAACCAGGTAATTACGGAGCTCTGTGGATGCACCTGCTTTGGCGCACATGCGTTCACAGACTCACAGTGACTCGAGAGAAGTCAGGCGTCGCTCTAGCTGACAGCGCCTGCCACCTCTGTTAGCTTTTTGGAACTAACGGAAAGGAGAATGGAATCTCCTTGGCTGTTTGATTGACAGCCAGGGAGCCATTTCTATATTGAGTTATGAAAGTGACAATTTCTCAGACATAGGCACTTCTATAATGTGCCATTGAAATAGGCTACTCCTTACCAATAAAGCACTTCAGCAAGATGCTCAGAAACAGTAGTTTGTTGGGGTATCAGGTACCATTGTGGGAATAAAGAGCAGATATGAGAAACCGATTTATAATTACAGTTAAAAGGTTTGACAAAGAGCCAGACGGACACTCCTGCACATAGAGGGTCAACTGCAGCGAGGGATGAGGGGACCACACATACTCTTACAATCACACAAACACTTTTACATCACATATATTTACGTATTTAAACATCATACACACGAATATAAAATTTAACATCAGACACACAAATATCACAAACATCACAAACACTCAGACACATACACACAGTGATTTACTCTACAAATATCACAGATACAGTCCTCCTGCACACATTAGAGATTTCACCTCCCACACTGATATCTGCCTCACGGCTGACGTAAACTCTATCCATTGACTATATAAATTTATATCTCTCAGGCATAAAGAATGTTTGTCACATATGCAGCAGAAGTACTAACTGTAAATACTCTGCCCAGACATGAGTATTCATTATTGTTAATTATGGTTTTATTATGGGTCAGAGTGATAGGACCTACAAAATACACAACCTAGTGCACTTGCTTATTCACTAAATGATTTCAACTCACAGATTGTAAAAGTTTTTTTTTTTTTGGTTTTTTTTAAGCACCTCACCTAAGCAAAAAAATAATAGTTACATTTTATTATCATACAATGCATAATCCTGGCAGGGCCTACTCTAGCAGCCTAATGTATGCTCTTATGAGATTAATGCACTTACTTGGGAAATACTTCCTTACTGCAAGTCAAGGCTAAGTAGGATCCTGGAATGAGGCACCTGTAACAGGGAGTGGTGCAAAACCAAGGAGTTGGCCTGGACTCCCAAATATATAAATGAAACCAAGAGGGCTGCACTCACCTGAACATGCATACATTATACAGTGCTGCTGGAGCCAAAATATACAAAATACAGAATCCAGCGCACTCACTTATTCACTAAACAATGATTTCAAATCTTAGAGATTGTAATAGTTTTATTTAAAAACACCTCATCTAGGCAAAAAATGATGGGGGCTTAGTTACATTATATGATCACACATTACAAAAGCCTGCCAACTACGTCAAAATACCCCATATTCGGCAGGTCCTATCCTAGTAGCAGCCTAATGCTTGCTCTTATGAGATTAATCCACTTACTTGGGAAATACTTTCTTACTGGGACTCTCTGCAAGTCAATGCTAAGTAGGATCCTGGAATGAGGCACCTGTGACAGGGAGGGGTGCAAAACCAAGGATTTGGCCTGGGACTCCCAAATATATAAA